CTTAGGTCCTAAGCCGGCTTTGACCAGGTGACATCGGCCAGGTGATTTAGCCACTCCTGGCCTCAGTCTCGCCCCCATCAGTATAAATAGCAGCATGGGATTCGTGATCCTTTGGAAGGTTTGTGGGTTTTAGATGGCTGGCAGGTAGCAGAGCCAGGTCTCTAATGTTCTCCTCAGCCACCTGCTGTGGCTAATAGTGAGCTCTTACTGTTTCTCATGGTCTTGCTCCATCCCCAGGACCCCCATCAGAGGTGCCATGATAATGCCCATCTAACGATAAAGACATAAGGCTCAGAGATGGTCAGGGACCTGCACAAGGTCAGAGGAGGAGCTGGACAGGACCCTGGACAGGTCCCTGGTAGGGGTGGCAGCAACAGCAGGGCTGCTAGCACGGGGTCTCTGCCTCAAGGGCCTGGGGACCATGTGTATATGGGCCAGGTTTTGCCATAATCTGGGAGTCCTGCTAGTGTGAGCAATTGAGAGAGCCCAGCATGGCGCCTGGCACCTAGTGGGTGCTTTGCCAATGTCGGCAGCCCTGTCCCTTCACTGAATCCTTCCCTGACACCTATCACCAGGCCTGGCACTCAGTACACATCAAAATAGTTGAATGAGGGTGATGATCCCTGCCAGGGAAAATCAAGTTATCACCAAAATGTTAATTAGCAGTGATTATCTTTGGCTGGTTGGTTAACAGGTATTTTTTTTTCTTATACTTTTCTTATTTTCCAAGTTTTCTAAACTAATTGTTTTATTTTTATGGTTAAAAATGTGGGACAAAAATCACATTTTAGAAGAAGATATTTATCAGTGTGATATACTAGTATCGATAAAATAGGCTACAACGTCTGTGTACAAAGTAAGATTATGTTTTGTAAAAAATATACCCTAATATATATATTTATATATACATACATTTTTTTCTATGACCATATATGAATAGAAAAAAATGTTTGGAAGGAAACATATCAAATATTAAGAAAGGTTCTCTCTGAACCTTTGGGATTATAGGTGATTTAATTTCACATGTGTATTTTTCTGTTTCCAAGTTTTTTGTATGGAGATCATACCACATTGATTCTGATATGTGCATTTATTTTTGCATTGCATTTTCTTTGAATTTGGATGTATCTTACAATCCCTACCACGAGTTTAATTGGCATCTCCCTCCTTTATTAGTTCAAAAAAGTAACAGTGCATCTCACAATTGATGGCATCATGGATTCAATGATACAAGGAATTACTTTTGAATTGGGGAGTCATCAAAAATAAAGCAAACNCTCTGGATGTGCCACTTCCCCAGCACACTGATGATGTGTTCCCTAGCCCAGAAGCTCCTTGAGTTTTAAGGATTCAGGGTTTTTATGTAGGGTTTTATTACAGATGCATGATTGACGAAATCACTGGCCCTGTGACTAAACTCAATGTCCAATGCCTTTCCTCTCCTTGGAGGCCTGGGGTTGGGACTGAAAGTTCTGATCTCTAATCACATGGTCAAAAGGGGCTCATTAGGAATAACATGACACTCCTATCACTGAACAAATTCCAAGGGTTTTAGGAGCTCTGTGCCAGGAACCACTGACGAAGACCAAATATATTGTATTATACTATATATTCCTATGAGCTCCCCCAATTACATATACTTTATGAGCAAAACTCATAGGCTTGCTATGCAAATGTAAGTCCCAGCACCTCCTTCCCAATTCAGGAGCTGCCACTGCTTTCCAGTGGGACACCCCCCTGCATCAAATCCCACTCTACATTTGCCAGCTGGATGGCCTTGGGCAAGTCACCTCACCTCCAAAGTGGTTCCTTCACTTGTAAAATGGAGAACTAACTCTTGTTTCAGGGGGCTATTTAATGAGATGATGGGCACTCAAGTGCCTGGCATGCAGGCGTGCATAATGAACATTAGCTACTACTTTCCTCCCCTTCAGTCTAATTGTGTAATGTCTGGCTCTCCTCATGGGGACTGTGTATATTTTCCCTACCAGACACTCAGCTGAGGCCCCCATCTCCTCCACAGACACACACACAGACACACACACCATCAGTAACATATACCATCTGAACCCTGACTTAAAAGCCTGGTTTTACCATTAACTATGTGACTTCAGAAAAGTCCAAGGTCCCCATCCTTCTTTGGGCCCCAGTTTTACTCCATAAAATACATTTGTACAAAGAGGGGCTAGGATCTGGGTTTTCTAGGAACAGAGGTGACGTCCATTCTGAGCAAGTTCCCATCAGAAATCCAGCATCAGAGGGGGAAGCAGAGAGAAGCTGGTAAATGTTTGAATAACCTACAATTTTATTATGGGCAAAAAGGACTGGCTTGAGGACTCAAGCCTGAAGGCAACTTCCTAAGGTCAAGTTTAGATAAGGAAAGGGAGGAATGCCTGAGCCTCCGCTGGGGCCAGTGCAGGGCTGGGGTCATGGCTGGGAGTCAAGGCAGTACACTGTTGGAGTCTGCCTGTTGAGTCCCAGCTACGTCTGGGGAGGCCAACGGGGACCGAAGACCCTACAACTTGACTGAGGGAGGGACAGGGAGAGGCCCAGGTCAGGCCTTCCTCACCTCCAAAATAAGATTATAGGCACCCTGGGGATGTGTTCCTGACTGCCCCAAGACTAAGAAGGGCTTTTCCCTACAGATATCTGTGTCACAGAGAGGGGGTCCACCAGTACCACCTACCCCCAATTTGGGAATGGCTAAAATCTGGACAGAGACAGAGCCCTGAAGAGTGTACAGGGACCAACAAGGTGACACAGGGCTCTGGGGGCAACGTCAGGCTCCAAGTTCTTCCTTCCACTCCTGCAGCTTCTTGTCCATGGCCTGGAGCGTGGATTCATCCTGCATCAATACAGATTGGTCCTACCCATCTCCCCGCTCTCCCCTGCGGGCCTTGAGAAACTTGGGGAGCCCCTCCCCCCATCCCCTGCCTTTTACCTTCACAAAACAGAAGCGGATATAGTGGTCAAAGTGCTTCTGATGTGGCTGGCTGTAGAAGGCGGAGACAGGGATGGCCACCAAGCCCTGGGGAAGAAGAAGGCCACGTCTCAACAGGGCCCCACAGCCTAGCTCCAGGGGAACAGGGGGGTTCCAGGATGGGGTGGGGTAAGGGAAGTTAGCTTCAATGCGGCACCTCCCAGTGCTATGCCAAGGTCAGAGGAAAGAATCCCAAAACATCATCCCCAAGTCCTTCTTGTGTACAGAGGGAGATGGAGGCCACGGGAGGGGTCAGGCAGAGCCAGGGAAGAAATAAGCCTTAGAATCATAGCTCTGAGCTGGATGGACCTCAGAGGTAATGGGCCAACTCCTCATTATACAGCTGGCAAGACTGAGGACCTGAGAGGGCAGGAACTCCTGCCAGCCCACATGGCATTTTTAGGCAAATTAAAAACAGGCTCCCTGTTCCTTGAAATGGATGCAACCCTACACCAGGGCTCATGACAGAGGCTGGGCTCTACTTTGGCCCATAAGCCCCTTGGTTGGGCACCCTTGAGCAGTGCACAACCTGTAAAGCCACACACATGGGGACCTGGCAGAGGACCAGCCCACCTTATTCTTGATCATCCACTTGATGAAGCGTCTATCATAGGGCTCGTCCACAGCACCAGGCAAATCAGGCATCTTGCTCTCTGTGGGACAGGGGCCATGTTGAGCCCTGGGCAGCTTCCAGCACCCCATACCCTGCCCAGCCTGACCAGTCTCACGCACTGAAGTCTGAGATGTCTGCGATGAGGAAGTAGCTGCCCTTGGAGATAATAGGCCTCAGGCCCACGGACTGTAGGCTTCGTATCATGTGGTCACGCTTGCGCTGGGTAGCCTGTGGGAACTGCACGAAGTAGCTGCTGGGTTGGCCAAAATGCAGCTGCTCCCGCTGGAAGCTCTGGGCTACTGCAGCCTGGGGCGGGTGGATGGACAAGCAGATCAGGCATGACTTGACCCTGGAGCCAGTCTGGGTGCTTTGGTGGCCCTGCCCCTCCTCACCTGAGTCTGCGTGGGACAATGATAGATCGAGTTCTGGTGCACAGTGCGCAGGTGCTTCATGAGGCTATTGGGGCCCAGGACCCAGCCCACCTAGACCAGGAACACAGGTTGGGGTGAGGCCCTTCAGGGCCTGGCCAAACGCTTCCTTAATTCCCAGGCTGCCTTTCCCACCAAGGTCATAGTGGGAAGGGTCATCCCCAACCTCGTTGACTCACCTTCCAGCCGGTGACGCTAAAGGTCTTGCCAGCGCTGCCAATGGTCAGGGTGCGTTCCCACATGCCGGGGAGGCTGGCTGCCCAAGGCCAAAGAGAGCAGCTGCTGAGATGGAGGGAGGGGCGGGGGAGGGGTGGTGGCTGGACCCCAGCGAGCACTCAGGCTCTCTACACTCTGAACTTTGCTAAGCGCTAAGCTATTTACAGGACTTATGTCAGCTCATCCTCATGACAACTCCGAAGGCAGGTGCCACTGTGCTCCCGTTCTCAGAGAGGTAAAGTCACTCTCCCAGATCACAAAACCTGTGTGGTTCCAGACCTTTCGGTCCTAATCACCAGGCCTGTGCTGACTCCCAGATGGGGGCTCGAGGCCCTGGCACAAATGCCCAGGGGAATGGGGCACCCTGGGCTCACCGATGCTGATGTGCTGGCACCCATCGTAGACCAGCCACTGGTAGACCTCGTCAGTGATGCACACCACGTCATGCTGCTGGCACAGGTTGGCCACCAGCTCCAGCTCTGCCTTGGAGAACACCTGCAGGGATCATCCCCAAACAGAGAGGCCTGCTCAGAGAGACAAAAGGATACGGCCGAACCCAGTGCTCAGGGCATTTCTGCCCCCAATCCTACTGAATCCTTGCAACACTGACCCTGCAAGGTCAATTGTGACATCATAGAACATACATCTATTGGTCTTTGCCCCTGGTTTCTGGCACAGAGCTCCTGAAACCCTTATAATTTCCTAAGTGATGAGAGCACTAGGAGCATCTTTTGGTCTAATGAGGCAACGCTGGGTGGGCTCCTGGATGGGGCTGGTCATCAGAAAGTCCACGCCATGATTAGAAGCTTGGAATTTTCACCCCACCCAGACCGCCATTTCTCCAGAGTGAGGAGAGGGGCTGGAAATGGAGTTCATAATTGATGATGCCGATGTGAGGAAGCCTCCATAAAATCCAATAGTATGGGGTTCGGAGAGCCTTCAGGTTGGTGAACACATCCACACCAGGAGGGTGACACACACCAACTCCACGGGGACAGAAGCTCCTGCACTTGGGACCCTCCTAGGCCTCGCCCTATATGTCTTGTCATCCAGCTGTTCATCAGAATCCTTTAATAAACTGGTAAATGTAAATAAGTGTTTCCGTGAGTTCTGTGAGCTGCTCTAGCAAATTAATTGAACCTAAGGAGGCGGTCATGGGAAGCTCAGATTTACAGCAGATTGGTCAGCACAGGTGACAACTTGGACTTGTGTGACTGGCATCCGAAGAGGGGTGGGGACAGTCCTGTTAACCTGTGGGATCTGGTGCTAACTCCCGGTAGATAAGTGTTGAAGTTGAGTTACATTGTAGGACACCCAGCCGGTGTCACAGAATTGCTTGGCATGGGAAAACTCCACACATATCTGGCGTTGTGAGTGTGGTAATTGTGTAAGAGTATAGGAGACACACAGGGGGAAGACTGGGTTTTCCTTTACATCAGTTTGGCCACGTTCCCATTTTACAGACGAGAAAACGCTCCGAGAGGTGAAGTCACTGTCCCAGGGTCATGGAGACGTAAGTAATGGAGGCACCCAGTCCGATCCACCACCAGCCCTCACACCTTCCCCAGGGAATGCCGACCTGTGCCTGGGGCCTCCAGGAGCCTTGGTCCTCAGGGCTCATCCCAGGGAGCCCTCCCACTTCACAGATGAAGAAACTGAGGTCCCATGGCAGCAAATCAGTAGCAGAGTGGGGACTTGAACCCAGGCTGGAGGGGTCCCTGGAAGGGGGTCTCTCAGGTACCTTTCCCAGGGGGTTGTTGGGTGTGTTGAGGATTAGGGCTTTGGTTCGAGATGTGAACTTGCTGGCCAGCTCCGTGGGATCCAGCTGCCAGTTGCTGCTGCAATCTAGTTCCTGGTCCTTCGTGGGGGTCTGTAAGAGGAGGTGGGAGGGGGTGGCAATACTTACCCACCTGACATTCAGTGCTAGGGATTTGATCCGCCTCCCCCCAGGCATCTCTCCACCCTTTGGCGTTTCTGGGGCTCAGGACACCCCTCCCCGCCTCCTTCACTTCCTTCCCTCTTTTCCACTTCCTAGCATCCAACATCCTAGCATCCTTGGACCCCTCTGCCCACCCACGTCCCAACCAGCATCCTCACCGGCTTCAGGGACACAAACACAGGACGACCCCCAGCCATCAATGTCATGGGCTCATAACAGTCAAAAAAGGGCTCGATGATGATGACCTGGTACAAGGGTCAGATTAGCTGGGGTCAGTACCACCCTGACCCCTCACCCCCACCCCACCCAAGCCTTGCCCACTCACTTCGTCTCCTTCATCCACCAAGGCCTGAAAGGCTGTGAATAGGGCCCCGTAGGCACCCACAGTCACCAGCACATTCTCGAGCGGGTCTATCTCCTGTCTCAGTAGCTTCCCAAAGAAACTTGCCAGGATCTTCGTCAGTGGTGGGTAGCCCTGCCAGGAGAGCAGGGGTCAGCCACCTGGCTCAGCCTGAGCCCACTCTCCTGCTCAGCTGCATCCAGGCAATTCTAGCACCTTCTAGCAGCAGGCCTGGGGCAAAGTCAGCTCCTGTAGAGCCAGCTCTTTCATCTCCGCTGTAGTCCTTGCCCTCAGGCCTATTTTGTGCCAGGCCCAGCGCCCAGGGCTGGGACGTGGTGCGAAACCAGACAGAGTGCATGCCACACAGCCCTCAAAGCAGTGGAACGCCATACTTGAAATATCCCCCTTTAAGTTTAATGAGCACATTCGTGCCATCTGCTCTTCCCAGCAGTCTTGCAAGAGGGGTATTATTTGATTTCCCACCATTTGGCAGCTGAGGTGCAGGAATGAGGTGCAGGGACTTGGTGCCACAGCTTTGGAAGGATTCCACTTTGAGAGGAAGATGGGATCCATGCGCTTGTTTGCTGAGGACACGTACAAAACACTCAAGACTAAGCCAAGTGACAGAAACTTAAGATTGAGGATTTAACTAAATAATTCACTAAACCAGATCTGACCACATACAAACTAAACGTTTCTGTACAGCAAAATACATCCGGAGCAAAGTTAAAAGACAGAGAGAAAAACATTGCAACATAAGAAAATGATGGAAGATATTAACATATAAAGAGCTCTTCTAAAACAAGACAATGATATTCACTCAAATGAAAAAAATGAAGTAGGTCATGCAGAAGTTCTGATGCCCAGTATGCATATGAAAGAATAACTGAAGAAAAGCAAATAAAAACATTGAAATATTGCTATAAAAATACAATGTCCAGGACGGCTGCTTAGCTCAGTTGGTTAGAGCGCAGTGCTCGTAACACCAAGGTTGCCAGTTGGATCCCACATGGGCCACTGAGCTGCACCCTCCACAACTAGATTGAATCAACTACTTGACTTGGAGCTGAGGGGTCCTGGAAAAGCACACTGTTCCCCAATAAAATTTATTAAAAATATATATATACAATGTCCACATTAGCAGATATTAAAAAGATTGAATAATGCCCACAGTTGGCAGGAGTGAGACCAACGGGTTGTCCTCTCTTCAGCCTAAAGAACAAACTGTCCCACCAGCTCTGAGAACAGTCTGATGGTGGGAATGTGAGTAAACCTAACCAGGGGGCAATTTGACAACATCCATCACATACTTAAATGCTTACACCCTTTGATTCTCTAGTTTTATTTCTGGGGATTTATCTGAGAGAAACACTCACACATGCATACAAAGATGTACACACAGAGCTAGTCACCGTGGCACTGCTTATCATAGTAAGAGATCCACACCAGTCCAGGAGTGCAGGGCTGGTTAATTAAACTGTGGCACATCTAGGCAATGGAATACTATGTAGCCGTTAAAAAGAACGAGGCTATTCTGACACGGAGATTGTCCCTGACATGCTGTTTAGTGAAATATACAAGTTACAGAATGTTATTTATAGTATGAGTCCATTTGTGTTAAAAAATACAAATCTCACATGTAGGTATAGATGCATATGTGTGTGTGTGTGTGTGTGTGTGTGTGTGTGTGTGTGTATTTATACAAGCATTTTAAAAAGTTAATAGCTTAACAATCTAAACACTCAGCCAAGTAGCAAACTGTTGGCAGTAGTTATCTCTGGATGGTGGCATTGGAAAGAATGTCCCTCTTGGCAATTCTGAGGCATACTAACATTTAAGAGCCGTTGCTCTACTCCTGGGGCTGGTAAATATTTACTCTGTGGCCCTTTACAGAGAGAGCTTGAGTTTGGAGTCAAAGCAATCAGCAGCTTGTCTTTCAGGGCTTGGCTTAGGTGTCACCTCCTCCAGGAAGCCGTCCCTGACCTCTCTTTCTTCCTGCTCCCACAGTACCCCATTCTCTTCCACCACAGCATGCCAACTGCCTTTGTTTTCTGCTTTTTTTGGTTTGCCTTTACCCCAGGTCACAAGCTGTCCTAGGGACTGGAATAGAGGGTACACTCAGTGAACCCTGAATATTGCTGGACTGAAGTCCCTGGACTCTGCCCCTTCCTCGCCCAGAGAGGAGGCCTGTGTCTGGGGGCTGGAGGAGCTGGAAGACTCACAAATGCCTTGGTGTACTGGTTGAGCATGAAGTTTCCGCTGACAGCATCCCGAAAGGCTTCCACTGCGAAGTCTGGGGGCGGGAAGTCGGGGAAGCCTTGTCCCAAGTTCACGGCATCATTCTCACTGGCCAGTCTCACGAACTCCACCCTGGGCAACAAATGGAGAGTTGGCACCAGCCCACCCACCCCTCCACCCCGACCTGGACTTCGGTCCGTTTCCAGGACAGGGTGAGCGATGAACTGGGATTCTTCTAGAAAAACTGGACAACTAGCATCTGCCCTGGTCCAAAGATCAGTGTCAGAACCATGACTTGGTCCAGTACTTTGCGATTAGGTGGGCAGGGCACTGCCAATCACTGATGAGGGGCTTTCAAACTTTTCAACTGTGATTCATAGTAAGAAATCATCTTTACATCACAAACCCTGTAGAGCACAAACANAGTTCAGCTCGGACCGGGCATCGAACCACTGTTGCTCAGAGCTCAAACTCTTGAGCGAGCTCTTAACCAACTGAGCCACTCGGCCGGCCCCAGGGAAGCATTTTTCTCAGTCTTGAGATCCTGCTTTCAGCTGTATCCTCTGTTTGGCTCAAATAAATTTTTACAACAACAACAAAAAAGGAAACAACCTAAATGCCCATCAATTGATGGACATCAATTGATAAACAAAATGTATTAATCTATATGATGGAATATCACTTGACAATAAGCAGGAATGAAGTACTGACACATGCTACAACATGGATGAACCTTGAAAACATGTTAATGTTAAGTAAAAGGAGCCAGTCACAAAAGATGACAAATTATATGATTCTGTTTATATGAAACAGGCAAATCTATAGAGACAGAGAGTAGATCAGTGGTTGCCTTGGGATGGGAATGGGGAGTGAAGGCTAATGCGTACCGGTATCTTTTGGCGTGATGAAAATGTTCTAAAATCAGATGGTGGTGATGGTTGCACAAATGTGAATATACTAAAAACAACCAAACAATACACTGTAAATGGTTGAATAATATGGTGTGTGTATTATCGTATCTTAATAAAGCTGCTTTTTATTTTTTATTTATTTATTTATTTTTTTAGCTGAGCCATCCTGCTACCTATTGGCAGCTTAGCGGCTGCTCAGCTCGGGCTGGCCTCGAACCGCTGTTGCTCAGAGCTCAAACTCTTGAGCGAGCTCTTAACCAACTGAGCCATTCAGCCGGCCCCAAAGCTGCTTTTTAAATCACCAAGGTCAAAGAAAAAAAGAGGCAGTGCCTTCGTGGAGGCCATGGGAATGTGTCTCTCTGATGCCAGGGGCCTAACTGACTGAGGGGACAGCGGTGCTCAGCATCCATCCTGATCCTCAAGCCCTGAGGCTGCTCCTAGCCAGTGCCTCAAGGACAGGGAGGCGGGCTGTTGCTGGGAGACACAGCACTCAGGACTCCCATTGGCTTTGCTGGAACTTTCTGAGAACTGCACTGCAGTCTGAGACTCTTCCTTCCAGACTTCCTTCCTTCCTCTCACAAGGGGGGCTCAGACCACAGCCCTGAAAACGTGGGTTTAAGGTCAGGGGCTGCTCTAGAGGGCGCTGTGGGCATCTGCCGGGTCCACGGGAGTTCTGCAGGGCTCCTAGGAGGATGTGGTCTTCAAGCTGAGTCCCAAAGCCAGGAAAGCGTGTCAGGCAGAGAGAAGGGGACAAAGACACCTGGGAGCTGGGACATCCAGGAACTGAGGTGTCGGTCTGGCCAGAGTTCACCCTCTCATCTCTCAGAATCGAGAGTCAGTTCCCAGAGGAATCCTGCAGGAAGTAAGTCCCAGAGCTCAAAGAAACAAAGGGTAGTGTGATTATTATCTGAGGAAGGACATTCCATGGTGTGTCATGTTAGGGGGAGGGTGTTTCTGTCTCACTCAGCCAGGGGGCTCGAGGCCCTCGGCCAGGTCAGTGCTGGGCATAGTAGGTGCCCTGTGTCTGCTGAGTGTTCTAGGGGGACCAACAGGCCCACTTGACCAGCATTAAGTGGTTTCTCAGGACATGGTATTTTCAGTGCTAAAGCTGGGACCATCCTGGGCAGGTGGAGCTGGAGCGGTCCCCTTACGCTGGCCGAGTGCAGGATTGATTGGTCCTGTCCTGGGCTCAATGTCCTGCTGACTCCTCCGGATGGAGTCAATCCTACAGGGAACCTCCTCTGCTGCCTCCCGAACCCCTGGTTCAAAATCTGCGGATGCCCGGTAGGCTGATCCTTTCTCAGACACTCTTGCCCACATCACCCATGTCTGTCAACTCTGCCCTTTCTCCTAAAGTGACTGTACCTCCTGTGCCCTAAAAAGCATGTCTTCATCATTGCACTGGATTCCAGTGGTAGAGTAACATGAACACCCTCAGCTCTATAATAATTTGCTGAGTGCTCACTCTGCACCAGGCACTGTGGTAAGGACTGTACATATGTTATCAGACCCTTTCAAAAGGTGTGCCTCACCTGCATTAATAGGCAAGGACATTGGTAATAATGATAAAAGAAAAACTAATACTCACATTGAGCTCCTGGAGGTCGGAGGAGGGTCTGTGCCATCCGGGGCCCAGCCCAGGGCAGAAACACACTCACACTGAACAAGACCCTAACTTGCAGCCCTCCCCTCTCCTCTGCCACAACCTCAGTCCCTCACCCTCTCTGGGCACTGCCAGCTCTTGGGACTGGAGACGGCCTGAGTCACCTGGCTCCACAGATAGAGAGGAGAGCTTGTGTGCTGGACAAGAATATGCTTAACCAGACTCAGTGCCCCGGGGCTAGGGCTGGAAACCAGGGTTGGGCTTTTGCTGCAGGGCACTGCCAGGGCAGGGGGTGCTGTGTGTGCCCAAGAGAGTCTGTGGGCACAGGAATGAGCAGTACACTGCGCCATCCATGGGGCAGGTCTGTTCTGCTACTGCTGAACCCTTGGTGCCCGCCCAGGATCAGGCCCCAAACAGACTCCTGGGGAAAGGTTTAGAACACTGGCTTTGGTGTCAGGCTGACCTGACCCGAGGCACGTCACTCACTTCACCTCTCTAAATGTCAGTTTCCCTATCTATGAAATAAATAAAAAGATAATTCATGAAAAGGACTTCATTAGTGCCTGGCACATAAAAGGTGCCCAGGAAATGATAGATGTTAATAATAGAGTAGGCCCTTTATGAATATTCATTGAATTAATATAATATGGCACATGGAGATAGGTGTGTGTGAACTCACTCATGTTTGCTGGCAGGGCTGACTCCTCCATCAGTCCTCCTCAGGAGGTATCGTGCTGAGGGTCCATGGAAACTGTTTTAATTTTAATTTATTTTAAAATAAGAAACAAAGAGAATACAATAATAATGAATTCAGCCTGGATGATATTCATTCTGTATATCAACACAGTTGTAAAATATAATTATTTGGGGCTGGCCGAGTGGCGCGATGGTTAAGAGCTGGCTTGGGACACCAGAGGGCCCCGGTTTGGATCCCATATATGAGAGCCAGTGACACTGCCCTCCACAGCTAAGATGCTGAACAACAGCTCAACCTGGAGCTGGGCTGCCATGAGTCGCGGCGTNCTGTTCCCATCCCCCCAATTCCCCAATAAAAATCTTAAAAATAAATAAATAAATAAAGCAAAGATGAGTCAGGGAGGGAGGATAAAAGCTGGACTGGGGGAAATTTGAGGGTTAGGGTTAGAAAGAGTAGAGGGGTACAGGGGCGCAGAGAGAGGGAGAACAAAGGAGGTGAATGAGTTTAGGAGATAAAAATAATGGGGGGCCCCCAGAAGTGGAGTGACCTTCAAGTATGTGACACAATACTTAGGTAAGTGAGGAAACAGTGCCTGTGCTTGGCTTATACATAATGTAGTCATTCAGCCAACATTTACTGAGTACCTACTGTACGAACATGGGCTGGGAGTAGGAGATGACTGGGGAGGCAGCTGGATGGGATTGAGATGCAGAGCTACAAGTTCTAGATTAGAGGCAAGGGCAAGGGAGGGACCTACATCCAGGCTGCAGTCAGGGAAGGCTTCCTGAAGGAGGAGACTCACATCCCATACTGAAGCCAGGACCAAGCCAGATCCCAGGGGCCCCAGGTCATGCATGTGGCAGAGTGCACTTACAGTCTGGTGCAAGTACCGGGTGAGTGAAGCTCCAGCCTTCTTTCTCTGGAGGGACCCCACCAGGTGCAAATAGATGGCTGCTGCATTCCTGAACATGCTTCCTAGAGTCATGGGGCACTGATGACTTCTCCAGGGGCAGAGGAGAAGAGGGTAAAACACCCTGGCCAGGAAATGGCTCCAAGCTCAGGGCTTGGGTCCCACACTCACAGCTCTATAGCTCTAATAATAATAACAACAATATGGGCTAGTATTTATTGAGTGACCACTGTGTGCCAGGCATGGCAATAAGTGCTTTGCTGCAGGATTATCATCCCTCAGTCCTCAAAACCACCCTGTGACCCTGTCCCCCACCCCATAAACCAAGGGGACCCTTTAAAAACATAAATCACCTCTAATAAAAAAATTGATCCAGGGCCAGCCAAGTGGCGCGTTGATTAAGAGCTGGCTTGGGATGCCAGAGGGCCCTGGGTCGGATCCCACATGAGGGCCAGTGACACTGCCCTCCACAGCTAAGATGCTGAACAACAGCTCAACCTGGAGCTGGGCTGCGGTGAGTCGCCAGCAATGACAGGTGGATTGCCATGGGCTACCGTGTGTAGCCAGCAGCCAGCGTGAGCGGCCAGCAACTGCAGTGAGCGGCCATCCAGAAGCCGGCGACTGATCTGCCTCGCCCAGGAGGAGCGTGGTGATGGTGCCAACTTGGGCCGGTGGGGCAGCGTCCTCCATGGCTGGACTGAGGAGCGAGGCTATGGCAGCTTGTCTGTTCCCCTTCCCCCAATTCCCCCCCAAAAAAATTGTTAAAAAAAAAAAGAAATTACTATCAAAATATTATTTTAAAAAAATTGATCCAGGTGAAGATCAGAATAGCCCCTAACAATCACAGGGAGAGTAAAGCCCACATCATGTGCTGGTTCTGGAAACACACACCACCTGCAAATTATTCCTGTGCTAAAACCAAATCTTAATCAGATAAAGCCTCTGGGTCACTAAAATCCAAGGGACAGAAGAACATGGTAAGTGACACCATTGAGATGCAATCAACAGATTCAGGCCAAAGGAACCTCTGTAGGACAAATGACCCTGTTTCTTCAACAAATACAATGCAAGGCCAAAAACAGTCGGGGCACGATAGATGAAAAGAGACCTAACAGACATAAATTTAAACAGTAAATGCTTTGAAAAAGAAGAAAAACATTGGAGGACTCACTGCACAATTTCAAAGCTTACTAAGAAAGCTGCAGGAACCAAGAAAGTGTGATGCTGGCATAAAGATAGACATATCAATCAATGGAATAAAATTGAGAACCCAAAGATACACTTTCACATTTATGGTCAATTGCTATTTGACAAGGGTGCCAAGAAAAGTCAGTAAGAAAAGAATAGCCTTTCAACAAATGGTGCTAGGACAAGTGTATATCTACATGTAAAAGTGTAAATTTGGACCCCTACCTCACATCATACACCAAAATTAACTCAAAATGGATCATAGACCTAAATGTAAAAGTTAAAATTATAAAACTCCCAGAAGAAAATAGGCATAAATCTTGGTGACCTTGAGTTAGAAGATAGTTTCTTATATACAACACCCACAGCACAAGCAATGAAAGAAAAAAGATAAATTGGACTTCATTGAAATAGAAAACTTTTGTGCCTCAAAGGATACCATTAAGAAAGTAAAAAGACAACCCATGATATGAGAGAAAATATTTGCAAATCATAAATTGGAATTTCTTCAAACATATATAAATGGCTGGTAAGTACATGAAAATATGCTCAATGTTATTAGTCATTAGGGAAATGCCACATTAAAATTCCACTTCACACCCACTAGGATGGCTATAACAAATAAGATGGATGATTACAAGTGTTTTGAGGATGTTGAGGTATTAGAACCCTTGTACTCTGCTTCTAGGAATGTAAAATGGTATGGCTGTTGTGGAAAACAGTCCAGAAGTTCCTCAAAATGTTAAACTTAGTGTTACCATATGACCCAGCAATTCCTCTCTGAGGCATATACCTCAGAGAAATGAAAACATGTCCACATAAAAACTTGTACATGGGCCGGCCAAGTGGCTCAGTTGGTTTAAGAGCTCGCTCAAGAGTGCGAGCTCTGAGTGACGACCGAGTGGCGCGATGGTTAAGAACTGGCTTGGGATGCCAGAGGGCCCCAGTTCGGATCCCATATATGAGGGCCAGTGACACTGTCCTCCGCAGCTAAGATGCTGAACAGCGGCTCCGCCTGGAGCTGGGCTGCTGTGAGTTGCCGGCAACGGCGTAGGCTGCGGCCCGGCTCCATCTGGAGCTGGGTTGCTGTGGGCGTAGGCTGCGGCCCCTGTGGCAGTGGGTTGCCATGGGCTACCGTATGTAGCCAGCAGTCAGCATGAACGGCCAGCAGCTGCAGTGAGCGGCCATCTAGAAGCCGGCGACTGATCTGCCTCGCCTGCTCGGGAGGAGCGTGGTGATGGTGCCAACTTGGGCCGGTGGGGCGGCGTCCTCCACGGCTGGACTGAGGAGCGAGGCTACGGCAGCTTGTCTGTTCCCCTTCCCCCAATTCCCCAGCGCTGTTCCAATCTCCCCAATTCCCCAATAAAAATCTTTAAAAAAAAAAAAGAGTGCGAGCTCTGAGCAACAGCAGTTTGATGCCCAGCCCAAGCTGAGCTGCAGCTGAGCTGAGAACAGGTGGCAGGATGGCTCAGCTAAAAAAACAACAAAAAAAACTTGTACATGAAGTTGTAAGGAGCATATTCATAATAATCAAAAAACGGAAACA